AGAGATTTAACAGAAAAACACGACGTATGAAAATATACAGTCTTGGGTAAAAGATATAAGATTCACACAGGAAAATACGACGTGTGTATATAAATATCTTGGGTAAAAGATGTAAAATTCACACAGAAAAACACGACGTATGAAAATATACAGTCTTGGGTGAAAGATGTAAGATTCACACAGAAATACACAACGTGTGGATATAAATATCTTGGGTAAAAGATGTAAAATTCACACAGAAAAACACGACGTATGAAAATATACAGTCTTGGGTAAAAGATATAAGATTCACACAGGAAAATACGACGTGTGGAAATAAATATCTTGGGTGAAAGATGTAAGATTCACACAGAAATACACAACGTGTGGATATAAATATCTTGGGTAAAAGATGTAAAACTTACCTGATCCGCTCTCTACATTTTGCGAATTTGTGGATTTTAATACAAAAATTATACAGCTCACATTTTTCACTTCTTTGATTAAAACTTAAACAATATTCGGTTAAAGGTTGGAATGTCTATATGATACCGAACTTTTATTGTTGTTAAATTTCAGTTTCCTCCACACCACTGAGTAGACAAAAAAGAGAAGAAGAAGAATACGAATGCCCTGCACCAGATGGACTTTTTGCTGATCCTGCCACCTGTCGGCGATTTTACACTTGTGCGGGAGGACATCCGTATAGTCTAGCGTGTCCGCCATCACTATATTTTGACGATGTCAAAAAATTTTGTACTTTTAAGTCGAAGCACCTTACATGTGGTCCGGTGGAGATAAGTACGTGATACGTTGTATTATTGTCTAGAATATTTCTTATAGATTAGTAAAATGTATATTTATAGATGGCGCTGATTGGATAATTTGAAAGTAGATGTAAAAGGTATGATAAATATGCAACTGTCTTCAATATAAACCTTGACATAATCACGTGTTTTAGTACAACAGAATCCAACAAATCTCTACGCCTTAGATGCAGATATTATTAGAAATATTAATTTCTTTTTTGCCTGGCCCTGTAAAATTATTTATGGATGTTGTATTAATTATTATTTGCTCAAGTTCATATTCTAAAGTCATTTTTATAAACGCTAAGCCTATCTAATTTGCTATTTGCCGGTATTTAAGCAAAATGGAAAAGGTTTTGCTGGATCTTGACTCATGTGGAATGACCAACAAGAAAACAAACGCACATCCTATCGTCTTCTCGACCTTTCCTCTCGCTTGACCAGGGCAAGTGACCAAAGCATAATCAAAATTCCACGGAAATCATAGCTCATATCACCAAAATCTCTAAAATTATTGGCCCGGCATGACCAGGTGGTTAGGGGGCGCTTAACTCGCAATCTGGGGGTCGCGGGTTCGAATCCCCGTCCCACCAGACATGCTCGCCCTTTCAGCCGTGAGTACATTATAATGTGACGACCAATCTCACTATTCGTTGGTAAAAGAGTAGCCCAAGAGTTGGCGGTGGATGGTGATGACTAGCTGCCTTCCCTCTAATCTTTCACTGCTAAATTAGGGATGGCTAGCGCAGATAGTCCTCGTGTAGCTTTGCGTAAGAATCAAATTAAACCAAACCTAAAACAAGCCAAGAAAAGGGGGCGAAGAGAAATAACTTTAATTTCTGGCCACCCCTGGATTACTAAGCCTAAATACCTACCACGATTCGGTTGGGTAATTTATTTAACCACAATATTCGAAATGTTGCAATTGATTGTTGAATTTCGCGCAGAGCCGTCCCTAATTTAGCAGTGAAAGACTAGAGGGAAGACAACCAGTTAACACCAGTCACACCACAGCAGAATGGGCTGCTCTAATCGGGTAGTGGAATTTGACTGTCACTCTAATAATCCATCCACGACCCCAAAGTACGCAGCGCGATTTGTTTTTTGGCAGTAACGGGATGCAAACCATGAAACCTCGGACTTACAGTTCGGCACGCTAACCACAGGGCTGTGCTAGGCCCATATCCGAAATAAACTCAAATGAAATGGGATTCAAACCCTAGTCCCCGTATTTAAGGGACTTTCTCCTCATTGCAGCAAACTAGTAAATTTTATCACGAATAAGGACTTTTGTTGTTTTAGGGCAAAGATACACAATGAACTCTCTGCGAACTGTCCACCGCGATGAATCGAACCCCGGACCTTAGCGTTTTAAGTCCGTAAACTTACTACTAATCCATCGCGGGACCGAATAAGGATTTGTCACCGTTTAGCCATTCTATTGTTATACAAACGTGTTCTTCACCGACTGGCTTCTTTAAGCGAATTACAAAAAAGTAAATTTATCCTTAATGAAATATTTTTGACGTGATTTTAATTACATCGTGGGTTTGATGTACGCTATAAATTAAGTAAACGTTTGCTAAAAGTTTCACTTCATTGGTTTTTGTCTGAAATAGTTGCATTTTGCCTCGGTTTCTATTTCTAATGGGTTTGGGGGTGGGGGAAATACCCAGAGACTAATCAATATAACATTTCTCTAAATAAAACTCCTTTTGGGGGGGGGGTTAGTTCCCAGGCCAAGAAGCAAATATTGTTTTATAAAATTTTAGCTGACGTCTACAAAGTGATTCACAAAAGCGGCCACTCCACCAATCTTCGCCGAGTTTGTTTGTAGTTAAGCGCAAAATTTGACAATGGGCTATCCGTGCCGTGCCCACCACGGTTATCTCGAAACCCGGTTTTTAGCGTTATAAGCCTCGAGATTTACAGTTGAGTTACTTGGGGAGATGATGGGGTTCGTTGAGAAATAAAAAAATCTGACGCAATTTGTTACGCGATATTTCAATTACCCACCGAGTTGATGAATTGCTGGTGAAGTTATGCGTCCATTAGTGTTGAAGTCCTAAAAACTGTTTCTGAATTTCAATAAAGAGTTTAAACTTCATGTGCAGGGGCTTCGTTGATACTGCTCAGCCACCACATTAACTACAAAGTAAATTCCATTTCTTACTAAAAAAAAAGTAGAAGCTTTCTGATGACCTATTTTGTTTGTTGACGGTCAACAAAAGAAATTTCAGATTCTCAGTATTAACGACATGTAAGCAAGAATATTTGTTTTACTAAACACGCGAGCCTGGAATTTTACAAGATGTTCCAATGAACCTTTATTTACGTATCTAGTCCTAGCGTGATCTACTCTTCTGTTTATCGCCTACCACATCGACTCCTCATATGATTAAGAGTAATTCCTCAATAGCCGCGGCACTTGAAATTCTTTTAGGCACGATTAGAGTAAATTAATCTATAAGATTTTTTTTCCCTCTTTATTAGCTATATTTTTGTACGCCAGCAATACGAAGCGTGGGGCGCGCGGATACCTGATTCGATTTTATTACTCATCGGGATCTCTACCAGCTTACCCTCAATTTGAAATTCTTTTTAAACAGGATTAGACTAAATTAATATATGAGACCTTGGGCATAGTCAAATATATCATTCAAAGGGGTTTGACTTCCTAAGTCCAAAACTGTAATTAGATCTCAAATCAAATAAGTACCTCACTACTATAAAGGTTTGGTTTGGTATTTCATTGGTGGTAGTGTCCAGGGTCACTGATTGGGAGTGGAATTCTCCGAAACTAGTCTGGCTCACAGACACACACCCCAATGAAAGAATAGACCATTCCAAGCTTTTACTTGTTGTTAAACAAATGTTTAAACAACTCTATTTATTCAATTATGTACAAGCTGCCCAATGTCGGCTAACAACACGAAGAATTAAATTGTGGCGGAATGCTACAAGTTCTTCAAATACCTATAGAATAATAGGTTCCCTTTTTGTGAGTGTAAAACACTTAAATACACCAGTTCAAAATAATTTCTTACGGTGTTAGAAAGATACTTATGCAGT